AATTGGCAGTCAGCTTTCAAAGCAGATGGTAAACTAGTAACCAAGTTCAGGGCTTTTTTAAAGTGTAGGATGCGCCTCCCCCAGTGGACGGCAGAGCTCTTTAAGGGGCTTGTGACATTAGGGAGAGAAATAATCTCCTAAAAGTAATTTAGCATATACTGTAGCCACCTTAGCCAGGTCATGCGTGTGGCTGTCTATGAAGACAGGAGCTCAATCCAAATAACTTAAATTAGTAAGGATGCTTAAGCCACACCTTAGTGTGTCAGCAGTTCTCTATGAAAGGACTTTCTGAATCATGCTGGCAGCAAGGAAGGGTCTAGGAAGAGGAACCAGGATACCTCCTAGCAGCAATTCATTTAGTATATAGGAACCTCTTGACATTCCAAGTTGATGCATAAAAGCAAAGCCCACTTCAAGGAGTTAAGAAAATATATACATCATTTATTCATGTGTACTCTGTGTGACACATGCTGATGTGCACATTTTCAATTGTTTTGAGTTTAATAATTAATAATGGAGTTTAATTATGACATATGACTGACAGACCTACTTTTCAATTGCACCTGTAAAATTACCACATTGTTTATCTGTAAATGTATTGAAAGCTGTTCTTGTATGAAAGATTGATGCAGGAAATAATCTGAGGTTTTCTTATTAGAAGAAGTTAAGTAAAAAGTTTTAAAAGTAGTGCGTCTTCAGAATAGGTCCTCTGCTCAACAGATTGTGTACATCTCACATTCAACATGAATCTACTGTCAGGACTTCTGTGTGATATCCAAACCTTTTAAATCAACAATTATCCATCTATATAGGTACATGTAGTAGACACAAATGTATCATAAATGGGTGACTATTCCTTGAAGACGGCAGGAAGCTGAGGTAATTTGTATTGAAAGCCTGATGTTCAAAATGTGTGACAGAAAAATATTTTGATTGTTCATGAAATATTTAAGTGCAGAAAAACATTGACAAATAATAGCTATAATTTTGTTTGGAGGAAGTTTTCTATTAGACCATTGAGGAGGTTCTTATGCTCCAACACTTTAAAAAAGCTACATGTGTTCATTCTTAAAGCACGTTACTGGTAGAAAACCTGTTGAACTTCAAGAGACATAAAGTACTATGTACTTCTAGCCTGCCGTTCCCATAACCCTGACAATACCACCCTGGGCAACTGCCCACCATTGACTTAAGTGGATCTCATAAGCCTTTTTCGATAATAATTCAGATGTTTATTCTGATATGTTATGTTATTTTTTAGAATTGTTGCATTTCTGTTTCAAATCCAACGAAACATGATTCTGTTACACATTTTTGTTTGACTTTTTCTTTTCTAGAATGCTTGAAACCATGGTATTTTTACTTAGATTATGAGAATATCATATGGGCCAAGCAGTATTAGAAACTTCTCAAAGCATATCTGTTTAGTTTATGAATAATTTAATCTGTGTTGCAAGGCACTAAATGCAAGACAGCAATAGGAGAGGGAGGGTTGGAATACAACTAAATTACAGGGGAGAGCTGCAATGAGACACGCATGCTAAGGGAGGATGAGCAAGAAAATACTAGAGTTTCATCACAGTCTTAGGCAGTAAGCTGCCTAAGAATAAACTTACCAAGCTTTTTTTTATTTTAAGTATGCTATGGTGATAAAAAAAAAATTGCCAATCTATGTAGGTGTCTGCAAAATAACAGCATTTTCTTAATTATTTTACACAACACACCTCCATCTCTATACCAGGTCTTATTGGGATACAAGGTTAAAATGGCAAAAAAAATAAACAACAACACTGAGGTTGGCTGATGAAACATCAACACCATCATCAGAAGAGTGCTGTCACAGACTGTGCTTTTAGGTGAAGAGAAATAGGTGGCCTGTGGGCCGTATCGTCTTTTCGTGGATGTGTCGTTATGGGCTTCACATTGAAAGAGCAGCAAGCAAGTATGCCAAGTGACTTCCACCGTTTGTAATGCTCCCAACATCTGAGCCAATAACATTCTTTCACGCACATATATATATATATATACACACAGCACAGTAAAGATAAATGTTGTGTCGCATTTAAAGATGATTTGGTGCCAAGCTCCTAATGGCGCAGATGGTACAAAAGGAGAGAAGATAGATGGTGGAAGGGAGGGAGAAAAGAAATAAGAGAGGTCTGTGACACCTCTTTTTCTCTGCCCACACTAAAGCTGCCTATTATCTAATCCTTCGCACCATGGATCGGGGGATAGGGATGGTCACAGAAAGCAAGACATACAGTAGTTGCCAGAAAAATAGAGAGAGAAAGAAAAATAGCAAGCACTTGTAATCAGCAGAGCGACATTCTGTTGGTGGAAACACAAGGCATCATTGTGCTCTTAGGGAGGGAGGGAGCTGCTCCGCTCGGTTTGCTTCTGCCAAACCTGACTTGGTCATAGCAGGTTAGCCAAGTTTGAGGCTGAAAAATATCAGAGTGAACTTGGGTCCTGACCGCCTTGAACTGACTAATGATTACAGTGGGACAGAAAATCCAGAGGACAGCTGTGCACTGAACAGAAATGACCGGCTCACTTAAATCCTAAAGCAGAAAAACATTTCCCAAATTTTAATCTGGAAACCCAATCATGTCCTTTGTACAGTAAAATTTGTACTGTACACCTGTAATGCAATTATTTCTTTCAATTTTATTTACACCTGTAGAACTTACTCATTTGATCACAAAAACTTAAAGTGTCAAACAGGGCTGAAAAAATTTATCAGATTAATTGATTATTTCAATAATCCTCGACTAATTTAGTAATCGATTAATCGTTACCTGGAGTATAGAGACTCTAAAACATGCCTTTAGCTGACAGCGCAACACACCTTGGGCAGCAATTATACCATAAATAAACAAAAAATTATGTAAACATTTTGCATTTAAGATAAAAAAAAACATTGGTCTGTCAATATGCTCTGTCAGAAACTGCTCAAGTGGAAAAGTCTTAGTTTCACTAGGTTTAATTTTGTAAAAAGTCTTCTTTAAGGAAACCTTTTGCTATCTGATTATTCATTGATTAATCGAACAAATAATTGATAGATTAATCAACTTGAAAAATAATTGTTAGTTGCAGCCCAAGTGTCAAATAACTGCAAGGCAGAAAGTAATGGATGCTTTCAAAGACCCCAAATTGGAAAAGAGTAATATGATGGCATACATATATCAGTCTATTCCCCCTGCATCAACACTTTATACAGTAGAACCACCTCTGGCTCTAAGTCTTTTAGGGTATGCAAACAACTATCCACATTCAAAATGGAGAGGATGCCTTCTTCTTTAAAAATTATCCTAGTTCATTAAGATTCTAGAGAGCCACATATTCTTATTAAGATGTAGTCTGGACTTTGACTTAGCCATTCAAACACATGATCACACTTTACCCTTATAGGCATTTCACTGTAGATCTGGGTTGAAGGTTGTTCTGCACCTAGAAGGTAAAATCCAGACTCGGTCTAAAACCTTTTATAGGTTGTTCTCCAAAAAGTATTTAGCTACATCAGTTTTCCCATCAATTGACCGACTCTCTGTTCCTGTTTGGATTTATTCTGAGATTAAAGTAAACAGCAGTAGTTTATATGTACCAATTAATTCATCCATAGGTTAAAAAAAAACAATGAAAAACAAAATTTTTAAAAATAATTTTCTGCTTCTTATAGCAGAAATAATTGTATTTATAAATAGGTTTTCAATCTACTATGGGGAAAAACACTCTCAAGTCTCTGATTATTGAGCCAAAAAAAATATAATAAAATAAATAACAGCACAGAGAACTGTGAGCATTCTCTTCATAAAAAAGTCAAATAACAACACAGTGCAGTTAATCAGAAGCTTTCTCAGATACACTATAATTCTCACAGCTACAGGTATTCATTCATGGACCACAGCCAACAGCAACTACAATTGTTTAAAGAAACCTGCATAAAAGTTTTAACAACATTCAATAGCCCTTTTTGGATTAATAGTATTTCTGTCCTGAGTCAAATGCCACACTCTGATGTGATGTCATGAGATTTTTTTCTTCTTCTAAACATTGCGTATTTTGGCAAACATCATTTAAAATCCCAGAAATCCACACTACAATTTGTGGGAATAAGGTTCAAGGAATATGAGCTCACAAACTGCCAAAGAAACACATCTGGAATACATTTACAGAACTAAATCTTGCCTCTCACTGAAATATTTGATTTCAGCCCTTCTCTAACCACTTCAAATGAACTAAAATATTTTTATTTTGGTATTTATACATGAAATAAATAAGATAAGGAGAAAAAATTTAATTATGTCAAGATATTTTATTTTAATGCCAAGTTTGTAGCATAAACCAAGCAGTAATGTCTAACTTCCAAACACATATTCACTCACTTAAAGCCTCAGGCTGAAATAACTGCTATGAAGTCTACTGTTTCGGTATGCTGGCACAACAACAGAAAAGTACAGAGGTCACAATTCTTTCCCTGCCAGAGGTCAGGATCGTGCGTAAATGTTGCGGAGACAACAAGAAGAGGAGAGAGTGGAGGAGGGCTGGCTGTGTATCTATGCATGGCAGGAAAAGATATCCTGTTCTGCCGCAACATTCCAGCTCTAAAGCAAACTTTCCCAACAACAAATGAGCAGTCAACATACAAACCAGATACATGGTTTCCATCATCTGTTTCCAACTGGTTACACACTGCTTGGTGCAACACTTCAAGAGTACAGAAACTATTCAACACATCCACAGCATATGAAAGACAGCATGCATATTCTCTCTCTGTGGCACTTTCTTCATATCAATATGTCTCCCATGCAGCAAGGCACCAACTGTTTCAGCTTTTGAGATCAAAAAGTATATGCAAGATTTCTAACATTTCCTGTAATCTGCTCAAATGAAAGACACATGGAGGGTGGCAGCTGCAATCTTTATATCTCAAAAATCCACTGGGTACAAAAAGAGCACAGAAGCAGAGAGACAAAAGGAGTAAGGGAGACTTTACCAACCTGCTCCTTGTGTGGACGTTCATTCCACATGTTGTTCTGTCAGATCAAGGCAGCTGGGTCTTCAGAAAGGATTGCAAACTAAAGACTCGTGCTCACAAACACAAACACGCCCGCCTGAGTCAACTGTTCAGCAGCAGCAACAGACAAATTCTGCTTTCTCTCTTTACTGCAACTCAATAACTGTGGCTGAACAGAAAAAAACTGACAGTGAACTCCAACTCCTTAGGAGGGGAGGGCTCTTAAAAACTCTGTACCAATCACAGGGAGGAATTCTTCTGCTGTGCTTCTGTGACTGGGTGGAAGATATTACTGGACCTGTGGTATGAGGTAGGAGGAGTCTTCTGGTGAGAAACACTGACTGGTCCTGCCTATCACCAATTGTTCAGCGTTGTCCAAGTATATTTACCTTTATCCTGTCACGTCATATTCCCATGCATGAATACTAAACCATACAGACACAGAAGAACATCTGAAATAATGAATGTCTGCAGCCTTAGAAAATCCCACAAACAGATACATCTCATGAAATTGGAATAAGACCATAAGAAAGTTCAGGGATATGGCTCTCTGCCTAGGGCAGCTTTAACTGGGGATGGCACAGGAATTAGGAAATAAAGTAAAGGGAAATAACAAATAATCTCAATAGCATTATAAGAAAAGCCATTGTGGATGTGGGGGCAGATATCAAACACTGCTGGAAAATATAAAGCTGGCAGCTTGTTAGAAAAGAGAAGCTTTACATCCACAGACTTTCTTTGTAGGTGGCTGTGCTGAGTTTGGACTAAAATCAAGAGGATACAATGCAGATGACACTGCTCTCTACTATTATGTAAAAATAAAAATTTGTTCTTTAGGTATCAGTCCAGTTGTTTTTACTTCTTAAGTGGCGTCTTGGATTGTCTGGATCAGTTGTGGCTGTATAGTGGGGGGATGTTCTGTGACTTAGACAAATTTTATTGTAATTTTGTTACAAAGAGTGTATACAAAACAAATTTCTTAAAGTGCTGGAGTAATCAAATGTAAACAGTGGGGGAGAAAAAAAAACATGGTGCAAAAAAATGCTTTTATATGGAAGTTTAGAGTATTAAATATATATGTAACGATATTGGTTCTGTTGTTTTTCTTTAAGTTTTCTGTTTCAAGTTTAGCCAGGTTTTTCATTGTTTTCTAGCTTTTTTGGTGTGTCTGGATTCCTTTAAGTTGCTTAGGTTTTTCTGTCTTTCCTCTGCTGCCTCCTTGTGTTCTTTTCCCTTGGCTTCCTCGTCAGCTCTAATCACACCTGTTCCCTATCAGCTCATTAGCTCTACCTTTGTTCAGTCAGCCATAAATACTCTCCCTCTGCAGTCCCTTTTTGCTGGTTCCTCGTCTTACCTTTCCTCACCCTAGCTCCTTGTTGGTTTTTCCCTGATGTCTCCATGGTTCTGGTTAGTGTTGGATTTTTATGTTGGATTTTTGGATTCCTGTTTTTGTTTTAACATTTTTTAAGTTGGATTTTTGGATACTTGTTTTTGTTGCCTGATCTCGCATTAAACCCTCCAAGTACTCACCTCTGCCTCTCAGCTTCTGCTTTTGGGTCCAATTAAGAAACGTTAAACCAAATCGTGACAATATATGGTGCAAAGATGCAGTGTTTTGGTTTGGTGTTGTCAGTGTGATGCAGAGTCTGTGATGTGATTTAGAGTTTTCTCAATGGTTCAGCAGTCTGATGGCGGTGGGGAAGAAGCTGTTTCGGAATCTGCTGGACCTGCATCGAATGCCTCTTCCCAGAGGGCAGCAGGGAGAGCAGTCCATGGTGGGGATGTGAGGCGTCACTGATAATGTTACGGGCTCTGAACATGCAGCGCACAAATGAAATGTATTTTATGGAAGGTAGAGAACCGCCGATGATCTTCTCTGCTGTTCTCACCACTCTTTACACCTTCCTTCAGTCTGCGGCGCTGCAGCCCCCAGTGAGACAGCTGGTCAGAACGCTCTCTATGGTGCCTCTGCAGAAGGTTATTAGGATGGGTGGGGGCAGGTGAGCTTTCCTCATCCTTCGCAGGAAGATGGTGGATCATTAAAATAAGTGGTCCTTCTAACTGTCAATCAATCTGGTGATGTGTCTAGATAAGGCCGTCCTACATGTTCGTCCCCATTTTCACTTACCGGTGGTGCGTCTGACAGTGAAAAAACTGCAAATCTTCCTTTGGAAAGTAAGCTTGTGAGTGATACAAACAGCAACTTGAAGTGGGCTCGTGCATGCTCTCACACACCTTTAATAGGCATTCCCTCTCAGGAGCAAGTACAGGGTTGTGCATGTGCTTTTTTTAAAAAAGTGGAGAGGGAAGGTCTTTTAAAAATTAGCACAAATCCTCCACTATACCTATAGGCAAGGTATATGGTTAATACTTTTTCGTCATTTCCACAACACCTTTTTCTTCCACTAAACCTTCTGCAACCATTCTTGGAAACAGCACTCAGGGAAAAGTCAGATTTTTTCCTGTAATAATTTTTTCCGCCTGTACGTTGGACAATACTTGGTTCAACAGTTCTGACCAATTATCATATAAGCCATAACATAGGAATGGTAAAACATTAATGTACTGAAAATACATTTTCATTGCTCTTATATAATTTTCAAATTTTCTGATATAATAAAGCTATTAATATGCATAAACCAAGCGGAACACTGTGGCGATGAATAGATAAATATATATGTGGTATATGCGGTATTACAGTTTACTGAGACACAACCTTAGGCAGCTGCTCAGTGGAGTTGAAAAAAAAAATCTCTTTCACCATCTAGAGGTTAAAATGCAGTACTGCACTCCTCCTGAGATGAGCTGGGTGCATACAGGTGCTGGTCATAAAATTAGAATATCATGAAAAAGTAGATTGATTTCAGTAATTCCATTTAAAAAGTGAAACTTGTATATTATATTCATACATTACATACAAACTCATATATTTCAGATGTTTATTTTGTTTCATTTTGATGATTACAAATGACAACAAATGAAAATCTCAAATTCATCATATCAGAAAATTAGAATATTACTGAAGACCAATAAAAACAAAGGATTTATAGAAATGTTGGCCAACTGAAAAGTATGAACATGAAAAGTATGAGCATGTACAGCACTCAGTATTTAGTTGGGCCTCCTTTGGCCTGTATTACTGCAGCAATGCGGCGTGGCATGGAGTCGATCAGTCTGTGGCACTGCTCAGGTGTTATGATAGCCCAGGTTGCTCTAATAGTGGCTTTTAGCTCTTCTGAATTGTTGGGTCTGGTGTATTGCATCTTCTTCTTCACAATACCCCATAGATTTTCTATGGGGTTAAGGTCAGGAGAGTTTGCTGGCCAATTAAGAACAGGGATACCATGGTCCTTCAAAAAGGTACTGGTAGCTTTGGCACTGTGTGCAGGTGCCAAGTCCTGTTGGAAAATGAAATCTGCATCTCCAAAAAGTTGGTCAGCTGCAGGAAGCATGAAGTGCTCTAAAACTTCCTGGTATGTGGCTGCGTTGACCCTGGACCTCAGAAAACACAATGGACCAACACCAGCAGATGACATGGCACCCCAAACCATCACTGACTGTGGAAACTTTACACTGGACTTCAAGCAACGTGGATGAAGTGCCTCTCTTCTTTTCCTCCAGACTCTGGGACCTTGATTTCCAAAGGAAATGCAAAATTTACTTTCATCAGAGAACATGACTTTGGACCACTCACCAGCAGTCCAGTCCTGTTTCTCTTTAGCCCAGGCAAGACGCTTCTGACGCTGTCTGTGGTTCAAGAGTGGCTTGACACAAGGAATGCGACAGCAGAAACCCATGTCTTTCATACGTCTGTGTGTGGTGGTTCTTGAAGCACTCACTCCAGCTGCAGTCCACTCTTTGTGAATCTCCCCCACATTTTTGAATGGGTTTTGTTTCACAATCCTCTCCAGGGTGCGGTTATCTCTCTTGCTTGTACACTTTTTTCGACCACATCTTTTCCTTCCCTTCGCCTCTCTATTAATGTGCTTGGACACTGAGCTCTGTGAACAGCCAGCCTCTTTAGCGATGACCTTTTGTGTCTTGCCCTCCTTGTGCAAGGTGTCGATGGTCGTCTTTTGGACAACTGTCAAGTCAGCAGTCTTCCCCATGATTGTGTAGCCTATAGAACTAGACTGAAAGACCATCTAAAGGCTTTTGCAGGTGGTTTGAGTTAATTAGCTGATTAGAGTGTGGCACCAGGGGCCATCAATTTTGAACCTTTTCACAATATTCTAATTTTCTGATATGATGAATTTGAGATTTTCATTTGTTGTCATTTGTAATCATCAAAATTAAACAAAATAAACATCTGAAATATATGAGTTTGTATGTAATGTATGAATATAATATACAAGTTTCACTTTTTAAATGGAATTACTGAAATCAATCTACTTTTTCATGATATTCTAATTTTATGACCAGCACCTGTAAATGTCTGCACCTCCTGGTGATAAGGACTTTAACCTGTAGTCTGCCACACCCTGAAAGCACCTTTAAAAATGGCTACATAGATTGTCTTAAGGACTAATACGGCACAGAAGCCACATAAAAGTATGAGGTTTGCATAAAGAAACATAACAACCATTACAGTGTTACACATAAAGAGTCAGAGAGAGGGAATGTATGGATGCTACACAGTCAATGCTCTTTAAAATGTAAATAAATTACTTACAATACTAAAATATAGGTCCTGCGTCACAGAGAAGATCCCTCATTCTGCTGTTGTTTTCACCTTCAGACCCCAAAACAGCTAAGATGGTAGATTTTATGTTTTTTTTTTTGTTGCTATCAGCTCATATTGATGTTTCTAGCAAGATTGGAGTAAGAGTAGCAGCACTGGAAATGTAAACAAGTTTTTTTTTTTTTTTTAAAAGCTCCACCTTGAAAAAAGGGTAAATGAAGCACACTCACTCATACCCCAGTGTTATCACATGGATATAAAATGTACGTACCAGATCCGAAGAGAAAATGTTTAAAAAACACACACACGGCTGTCCTGCTGATGACCCTGCTGCTGCTCAGTCCATTAGGCTGATCCCTCTCACTCTTTGCATTTATTTATCGCCGCCCCGTTTTGTCTCCTTTCCTAAGAACAAACACATCCTGATTCACCAGCCATAAACATAATGGAAGGAAAGCCAGCGCAAAGGCCAGATAGATAACATAGATATTTGAC